CCGGTTGTTATTGGTGGCATACATTTTTGCCTGTGACTCGTAGTTTTTTGCATTTTTATGTCATTAAATCCCTCAATTATATTTTGTACTTAAAGATCATGTTTTCTTTGTTGGAAGTTCGCAATCCATCTCAAAAAAACAACACTGAGAACATAGCGTTCTGGCATTCGTGTAGGCACCTCACGGTGTTGAGGGACGGTGGTTTAGGTTTGTGTGGCAAACGACAATCACCCAACGACCGACGCTCACAACTTGGATCCCACCATTAACAAAAAGCAATATTATAGTTATATAACTTTTCAGATGTTTTTAATTCAGTATTTTTTTCAATATTCTTCCAAAATTCAACCACTACATTTCCCTAAAAATCAAATAATACCGGTTTTATGTATTTCCGTATTAAACCTGTAGTCAATTCATGTTCCAGGGCCACTTGGTTTAGCCGTGCATTATCAGCCAATATACCATGGATTGCATATGCAAATTTTGTGTTTGAACCAATCAAATCGATGGATTAACACCATCAATATACTGGTATAATATAATTGGATAATATTACATGATTGTCCCTCACAATGATTCAGATGCTAACATCAGCAATTTGCTGGTATTTTTTTCAATTGTTCAATCATTTCAGGCAAAGGGCCGAAGTGTTTTCTGTTAAATTTACTGTTTACACCCAAAATATGGCAAATAATTGAGAAAATCCCATGATGGTAATTGCAATTTTAGACACAATTTCCTAAGCTTATTTTGAGACAAGAGTCCAAGCACCCATCACCCCCATGTAACAATGGTTGTGTTCATGGGCGCCAACTGATGGGAACAAACGCCACTAGAATGTTCCAAGGAATATTGCAATATTACAAGGGAAATTATAGGTTTTCAAGATAAGTGTATTTCGGCGCTCTCTGTAATTACACTGTTAGGACCAGTGATATAATCGCGCGTATACGATATACCACCCGTTGTGGCTGTCGAGGTTCTGCTTTTATAACAAAATGTTGTCAATTTCAATGAATCAACAATCGTCGAATCGATGATCGTGTATCATGGTAATGAATCAATGCGAATGCCAGAGCTAAATTATCATGTTTATGTTCGTGATTGTTCCGAAAGCTTTCGCTATACTCACCAGCAGTATTGGAATGACGCTTGGGATTTTTTGGCGACAGAAAGACTAGAGAAAAGCTGAGATGTTGACATTCAAGACATTCGGTTGACGGCCATTAGAATAGACCCCCTAGGCTCTCCAAAATATTCAAGGGCGAAGGTTGAGGATGGAGGAACCCTGATTGTTTTGCAGAATTATAAAATCGAAGAGTATGTAAAAGCATAGAAGCACTAACATGATAAAAAACATCATAAATTCCACTGGCACCCTGACGGTGTTTTCTGAAACATTCAACAACAAAAATACACAAAAATATTTAAAAAAAGTTGATAACAATATCACAGCCATGAACAATCCGGCTCCCCCCCCCAATACTATTTCATTCATTTACTGTATTTTTAGTACTGTATTTCCTTTTATTTTCATTTTTTTATTATTACATGTTTTTGACTTTATTGTACTTTTTGTCAAGATCTCAAATGGGATACGATAGCAATAAAGAATTACTTACTTACTTACTACTGAGACTCGTTGTGATGCTGGTCGGAGAATGCGGCTACACCGTCAAACACGGTGAAAAACCGTGTAGTAATCGTGACTAAAATAAAAAAATGTTTAAACCGACTCACCGTGAACGAAACAAAGTAACTCAATCTGTAGTATTGCAATACAGGTCACTGTTCTGGTATGGATGCTGAATTGTTCGAGACATCGAGTTGTGAACATCGAAATTGACCACGCCCATATTTTAGAAACCATGCCCACTTTTGCGAAATCACGCCTAAATTGTAACTCGATGTGCAATTTAACAGTTATTAACCGAATTTCGAGTTATCGTCAAGTTTGACTGAAATAAAAACGATATACTACACTGATACAATAAAGATAATTTCATCAAGTTTGACGATATATTCACATTTTAACAAATTAAAAAAGTGGCATTATTCAAAGTTTGACGAAACGGTTGAGTCGGCAAATGGCAGTCTCTGTTGCATGTAGATTATTCAGTGTGACGAAAATTGTTTTTGTTTTATGCTGACATTTGAGAATAAATGATTTTCGATATTCTCGATCTAACATCAAATTTTGATGAAATATTATATTGCTTTCAACATTGGCGAATTATATTTGTTATAACACTTATTACACCTTAATTATTTTATATTGTACTAAGGTTCGGAAAGTGTTAAATTAAATAAATGATTTAAATGTATTCGGGTTGAAAAACATCAATGTTGACGAATCAATATGAAAACAGACAACTTAGCCATAGTACGTATCTAGACAAAAATGAACTAGTCCAAAATTAAGTGGCGCTAGGGAAAGTGAGATTGTCACAAAATGTAGCAAATCGTTTTCATAACATTAGATCATTTGATAGCGCCAATAATAAAGTCCCTCGCTATATTGCAATGTTCGTGGGGATGCTGAATTGTTCCAAGTTACGGACATCGAGTTACGCAAACATCGAATTACAACTTCGAGTTACGGGCAACATAATTTTTTGTTTTGCTTAACGTTCAAATGTAGTAACTCGAATTGTATTTGTCAGTTAACCGACCTTCGATTTACGGGAAATATACTACGTTTAACAAAGCAAAAATTCTATGTTGCCGGTAACTCGAAGTTCTGTTAATTGTTAATCGAGCATCGAGTTACTATTTGGGCGTAGTTTTATAAAAGTGGGCGTGATTTATAACATATGGGCGTGGTCATTTGTGTAACTCTATGTTTTCGTAACTCGACGTTCATAACTGTCCGTAACTCAACAATTCAGCATTTCATGTTCATGGGGAATATCCTAGAGAGTTCACTA